TCGACAATATATATCTTAACCAGTTGACCTATTATCTAAGTAAGTATATATTATAATGAGAAATAAAACGGTGAGAAAGTGAAAATAAAATGCCGCAGAAGGTTGAGAAAGAATAAAATTATACATTATTTCCTTTTTGGTTTCTCTTGCAAGAGAATATATACAAATAGGGAATAAAGTGCGAGAAGAAGTGACTTATAGGCCCCTCTAAAAAAATATATCTTAGAAACATAATAATGTAATGCTTTGAAACTTTTTTCTTGCACTTTTATTGATTGACCAAGAAGTCATATAAATAGACTGCTATTACAGAATAATCACAAAGCCATAACTAACTATAACAAAATAACTAACAGTAAAGTCTAATACTCCCCCTCAAGATGGAGTGTGGGTATTCAAGACACCTATCTTGGACAGTAAGTCAGTAAAAGAAGAGGAAGGGAGAGGCTTTGTAAAAATGTCAGCTGAGAGGCAGAACGAATCGGTAAAAGCTTGATGAGGTTTGAAACAATCTTATCCCGAACAAAGTGGCAGTCAAGTTCTATGTGCTTGGTTCGCTCGTGAAAAGCCAGATTAGTAGCAATGTGGACAGCAGCCTGATTATTGTTAAGGATCCCACGTTGATAAAAGAAGGGACTTAACAATGGTTTATAATAGACATGAGCTACTCCTCTCATTGCCAATTGGTTCTGAGATGGAATCTCATGAATATTGATATGGTATCAGAGCCCACAAGCTCAAACGAGCATTCGGTCCAAAATGGGATCCCATTTCTCTCATTGCCAATTGGTTTTGAGATGAAACCCCATGACAATTTCAGAAGTATGGTTTGCTTTTGAAGAAGCCCCAGTTAGTATAATATCGTCTACATATACAAGTAGAGCCACAAAAGTATCTCCAGCACCTCTAGTGAATAAGGAATAATCAGATTTAGATTGGCACAAGAGAATTTGACCGCAAGAGTCAAATTGGACTTGTGAAGAAGACAAACGAGGCGCTCCCCCTTAGAAGCAACATATTGTGTTTATAACCTAAGGGTAAATCCATGTAGGCCTCCTCAAATAGATCACCATGCAAAAAATCATTATTGACATCTAGTTGAATTAAGGGTCAACTCATGGAGACCGCAAGAGTAAGTAAGACCTTGAGAGTGACTAATTTGGCAACCGGAGAGAATGTTTCAATATAATCGAGACCTTCTTGTTGAGTATACCCTTTTGCAACTAAACGAGCCTTATAACGCTCTATGGAACCATCAGACTTGGTTTTGACTTTGTAAATCCACCTACATCCAATAGAATGATGTCCCAAAGGTAAGGGAACAATAGACGAAGTGTGATTAGTTTCCATGGCTTGCAACTCAGACTGCMTGGTCTCACGCCAACGGGCAAATGGTACAGCTTGATGATAAAATTGAGGCTCATTTAGATGCAGAGACATTGAGAGCAAATTTCTTATAATATGGGGATAAGCTATCAGAAAATTCTGCAGAGGATACTTGAGAGAAGATGTTGGCATAGGAACAACATCAATTAAATGACAGTGAAAATCCCTCAAAGGTGGTTGGCGAGTCCTTGTAGAACGGCGAACAGGGACATTAACCTGACTCTGAGAAATGTGTAGAGAGGAAGCCGTAGGACTAGCTGCAGTAGATGCAATATGCTGAGAACCAATAATACTAGCAGAATCATTAGTAGAAATATCTACAGTATGAGAAATATCCCCAGACGGAACAGAATCACCAATAGAACTATCACCAATAGAACTATCATATGTAGGCAAAGAAGCAATTGGTAAAGGACTCCCAGAAGACACATCATAAGGTCTGGACAAATCGGGGACCAGAGAAATATGTAGGGACTTGGGTAGAACCAAATCAGGGATGATTTAAACTTTCTTTTAAAGCTTATGATTAATTACAAAAACTATTTAATATTTCCAGATTTGGAATAAAGGTTAGTATATTAAAATTGTCAACCTGAGCATAGCCTGGTTAAGGCATATATTCTCGATTAAAATGTTGAGCTTAAAAAAGAAAATTTAAAAAGTGTATTAAAACTTGACTATGATTTGCTAAAATTGAATTTTGATCCGTTAAAATAAGATATTAAAAATAATAATAAATAAATAAATAAGTCATGTTATTTTTCTTTTCTTTTTTTTTTCTTTTGGAAGATTTATCATTTGCTATATGTTAAAAGTTTTAAGTACTATGACTAAATTTAAAACTTAAGAGACTGAAATAGATATTTTTAAGCTTAAGAGATCGAATTATAAATTAATAATTATGGTAAACTTTTAAGGACAAAAATATGTTTATTTTTCCCCTAATTTTGAAGTATTATAAATATATTTTAAGATAAGTGACAAACTCAAATTATGTAACATCTTGTTTTATAATATGAAGATATTTTATTTCAGTACCAACACAATCACATGCACTTTTTGGATTTGTTCCTTCAAGTTCATTTTTTACGAGAATACTCTGAACTTTTTAAAATTTAAAGGTTTAAATACTATTTTAATCAYTGCACTGATGGTTTGAGTTAATTTTGGTCTCTATATAYTTTTGTCCGTGTACTTACAACTTTTATTCATTTTAGCATATATACTTTCAAAGCATTCATTTTGTTGACCGTTTTGGTCCATTCATTTTTTATTTTTACCTCATTTTCGTTCAATCATAATTTTAGCATGACATTTCATTATTAAAATTTTTGAAATATAACCATAAATTTGTATTATAAAATTTCCATTATGTATAAAATTTTACAAATAGATACCAAAATGAACATTTACAACAACTAAAATGAACAAAAGTTAAAAATAAAATAAAAATAGATGTTTTGAAAATAGAGAGACACAAAAGTGAACCAAAATCAAAAGTATATCCCAAATAAATTTAAATGATTTGAATTCAAAATGTAAAATCATTTCATCAATATAGCTAGGAAAAGAGGGGAAAGAAACTATAATGTGGGACCTCATAAACAATATAATTATGGAAAAAAGTGTAAGGCAAAAGGGGCAAACAGGGGAATAAAATAATTGGTACCATGTTTCTCCTTATGGTTTTTCTTGAAGGTCACAGAAAAAGGGATACATTAATGAAGATTGAAGAGGAAGAAGTTGACAATTTAATTGCATCCAAAGAAATATCTTCAAGCTTCTCRCTTTTCAACTTCTCCCTTATTTGAATCTTTAACAAATTCCCACATGCTTCACTTTCACAGGACACCAACTTCTTCTTTATCTTCAAAATGCTCAAATGGGTTTGTGAAAAATGTTGGATTTAATCTGACTTTAACTTCAAAATGTCAAAGTTCTTCAAGAAATTAGCTCGAGAGCGAGTTCTTACTACCTGAGGGAATGAAAGTGGTGATTATTTGGAGTGAGGTTGACCTTCATTCTGTAGTACGACTATTAGAGTATAAAAAGATAGTTTCGCAAATATGAAATGAAGCAATTGAGAGAATGCTTATCATCTCAGGTGAACAACCAAAATTATGAATGATTCTTCATCAAAACTTGAATGCCTCTATGGTTCCTTTATGGGTTTGGATTGAAACTTGCATTTCTCCTTAATTTGTCCAACTTTTAAGTTTTAGGACTTCTTAAAGCAGAAATCTTATGGTACTTACTCAACACAAATTGTAATGCTAAAGATTACTGTCATCTTTAGGGAACACCATGTTCTTGGTATGCTTCTCATTTGAGCAAGTTTTAAGAGTTCTTGGCATCCRTATGATATGAAATTCTTCTTACTCTCTACTTGCTGCTGCTATTCGTCATTCGAGACTTGATTTGATTTCTCTGCCATRGGAAAATCCTGTCGACGAACTTCTTGATAAGATTCTTTTCGAGTTCTCGACTATGCTATATGCAGAATCTAGACTAAACGAGTAATGACAAGACAAAGGAAAGGAGTTATGTAGCATAGATCAGCAAAATCAGAACTGAATCTAATTGGTCTTGCTTTCATGTTAAGACATGTAAAGGAAAATACAGATCATCATCATTGTCATCATATATAAATAAATATATATTTGCAATTTGCAATATCTTTCTTGGAAATCCACTCTTCAAATGTTTCTAAAGAGGCAAAGGATAGAGAGAATAACAGCTCAATTCATTTTTGTTCATGACAAACAACATCAGCCAAAGAAGAGGACAATGAATACAGTAAATGAACATAATAGTACTTGACATGACTAAAGAGCTTTTACTGATATAGCTGCTATAAACGCAACACCATTACAGCCAGACAATAAACTAGATAGTTTCACGACGTTGTTCCTTCGCTCCGTCTTTCTCTCTTATCTTCTTTTCTTTTTTTTTTCCCTTCTTTGCATCACTTGGTCATTGTTGCTGAGCAGAGAAGGACTTGAACATTTCTCCAGCTTTGGTTTTAGTTTTCTTTGAGTGAAATCATAGGAACTGAGAATGCTTACAGTGAGCTATAGCTCCTTCGATGGAACGTGCCATCTCCGAATTCGCACTGCTGCATCTCTTCAGTACTTGTGGATCAAACAACCCACTCGAGCTCGAATAGAAAGAAGAAGACGAGGAGGAAGAACCGGATGAAGATACAGAGGATGAACAGGAAGGTTTAGTTGCAGAGAATGAAGCCCTCCTCTGTCTAACTCTGTCTTTGTCAACCAATGCGGCTGTAAAATGGTCTCTTTTAAAGCCTAGTTCTTTTCTTTTTGGCCTATTTTCTGCTAATTTAGCACAGGACTCATCTGTACAGGCAGACTTACTGAAGAGGGATCGAACGTATGCTCGTGAGGCCTTAAATTTCTGAAACAAAGAGGATTGCTTATTCTGTCTTAGCTTTTGGTGGCCTCCCATTTCGGTATTTGTCCAATGCTCAACAGGTTTTAGCTCGAAACTGAACCTGCACGACTCGACGGGTGAAAAGTTGAAGGTCTCAAGAGGAGTGTAAATGCTTGCATTAGCAGAGGAAGCAGAGGAGCTAGAGATGAAGGAGATTTGGAAGTTTTCTTCAAAACAAGGTGTGGTCTCGTGGTGTGCATTGGAGTTTTGAATGAGTTTTTGGACCATTTGTATGCGAGGTGGGAGATGGAGAGGAAGAAGTTTTCCCTTGTAGAAAAGTTCATCGGCCGGTGAAATGGCCGCTTCCCTTTCGAGGGAAACCGAATTCATTTGAAACTCAAACTCTCTCGTTTGAGGCGGAGAATTCAGCGAGTAACAAAAGTTGGAAGAACTTATATCCATTTCAATGTAATCCTCTGTGTAAGTACATGAGAATTGTCCAATGGCCATCTCTCTCTCTCTCTTTGCTTGCTTTTTCCTACTTTTCAGAGCTTGATGAAGGAAAGGGGTGGAGGAAGTGCTGCTCTTTAGAATGAAAATGGTCTGTATTTATAGTGACAACCATTTCCATGCTTAAAGTTACTTAACCTAGATATTTTGAATACTTCCAAGAAGAGAATTGTAAGGGTCAATTTAACATGTGACAGAAGGAAGGAAAAAGTAGAGAGAGAAGCAGAGATCCATTTGACATGAATGAGTGTGGTCCTCTTTTCAAATTCATCTCAATTCTCAAAACTATGATTGAAATAAGGAAGGCTGTAACGTAAAAAAAGAAGTTTCAGAAAATTATGTGCAAATTAGAATAGAAAGTATAGACTGCAGAACTCCATGGAAAATATGAATTTTTCATATTTTTACTTTGAACTCTGGAAAATTTGGGCAGTAACTGAAAGGTGGCTCAATCAGATGAGAAAATGTTCAAGTTGAGAGAGAGAGGAACAAGTCTAAGAAACCTGTTTGATCTAGAAGTCCAGTGCTTAAGGCATTTTAGGCGAAAGAGCACGTCGATTGTTGCGAAATGTTTTGCAGCATATTTCGTGAGCGTTTTCTGGGTACTATTTTAGTAGTGTCATATCAGTGAAGTTCCTCTTGTTTTTTTTTCCATAGAAGTAAATCTACACTTCATATCATGTAAATCCTGTATGGTCTATCTACCATATCTTGTCATTTACTCTGACATAAGATCTCAAAATCAAGCATTTTAAACATAAACAGATGAGAAAGTAAAACTTTTCCCTTTTTTTGCTTTCTGCTATCTATAAATCATGAGAAATATGAGAACCCACCTAGCCTTAAAAGGCAAAAGGACAAAAGTTAAAACACTTCTTGGAAAAKATATATTCAAAAGGGAAAAAGGCGAAGACCCTGAGGAAAATTTCAAGTAAGTGATTGACACGTAAGARACAATCAGCAAAAAGCAAAGGGAAAGTGGAAAAGGGAAAGGGAGGAAAAATCTTAGGGAACACCAACTAATGAGCTCTCTTATTCAACCAACCACTCTTGTCTTCTACTTAAATGATAATAGAACAAACAGCGTGAGAATCTCCCACAACATCAGGATGTTGACAGTGTTGTTGTCTTTTGCAGCAAGTTCCAAAGGAAAGTAATTGCCCCCAATTGCTTCAAAACAGTGCTGGAGAATAAATAATTTCAATAACGACCCAATATACTGAAAAATGGGATTGTTTGTACTTTCATGGGAATTTCCAGATGTACYAAGGTATACTTATTATGTAGGCTGTTTCCTTCTGTACTAGGATTGTTTTCCTGAACAGAATCTAACAACTGGAACTTTGGCTTTCATTTCATTCTAAGGACTGTTTTTTCTCTACTTTTCTTCTGCCAAACATCTGATAACTGGCAGTATATCCATAAGACTTGATTCCAACTGAAAGCTAGCCCATATGTTTAAAGAAGGTTTTTTTTGCAACCCCACACACCGCAGTCTTATAATCTATAGAGAGGGAAAAAAAAAAAGTGGGGGGAGGGGGAGTGCTAATGAGCAAGAAAAAGCCCGTTCCTATATCGAGAGGTATTCTAAGGCGCCTTTACTAATATTGTAATAGTGGGCCCATCTTCCCATTTTTGTAATTGAAAAAGGGAAAATTTTCTCGCTTGTTGCAAGTTTCTCGGTTTCCTTTATACTGTTGCAGAAATGTACAAAAAAGAAAGGCTTCTATTCTTGCAAATTTGAAAGCACTTAAAAAACTTGCGAGGAGGGAGTCTTTTGGAGCTAYGAGTCAGCGAGAAGAAACTATTCCCTCTGTGTCCCAATACCTTATTCCCTCCGAAAGAAAATRCTAATTCACAGTAGAGCTAAGACTGTTATTGCATGAGGTCTACCCAATTAGATGCAGAGACGTATAATAAATCAATATGAACATCACRAGCTGTCCTGTAATAAAACCTGTTGTGGGGTGGGTGTGCAGGAATTATAACACTGGACAATCATTATTCAATTGTAAACTTGATTAAATCAACATCAGTGTTAAATAAGCTATTGGTTATTGCTCTGTATATTAGTGAACCAAGTGATGTGAAAATTTGTTAGATGCAAACAGCAACGAATGGATTTGTTGAAACAAATATAGCCATATGTTCACTATTTGGCGTCTCTTCATTGCTGTGGAATAGAGGGACATCTTACATTATATTTTGTTCTCTTTCTTTTCTTACTTCAGAATTTCTTTTGAATCAGTAAAAGAAAATCCACGAGATTACTGTTTGTAAATTCTGTCTTTTTTTCCTTCTCTTTTGATATACTGTTGTCGGTAGAATTTGGTTTTAACGAATTCTTGGTTTGCCAAGACAACTCCTCAACAATTATAGACCTTAGAAACTCTTTAACACATGCCTCCAAGCTACAAGTTGTGTCAACTTTTCACTGAGAAACATGAAAGAATTATAACTGAACTTTTCTGTTGAAGAAAATCATTCAGGATCCTCCTTTTCGGGGAAATACTGWGTTTTCTAGTCAGCCGACTTCTTGAATTATGGTTTATTTTGCTATAAAGGAATAGAACATCTGTACGTCAAGATAGGACATGGAATGATGTTTGAAATTTGACGCATTTGAATGCTTCTGCTTAAAATTTGTTTTCTAATTATCATTCTATTTGCCTTAACAAAAGTTGCTTCCTCCCAAGGACTACTCAAATTCTTCTTGCACTTCTCCATAAAATGACTACAGCTTCATACTGAACTCAAGAGGCTTTTGCAGCAAATAGCAGCACATTTTCAGTTCATATATTACGACCCTGGTAACGTTTTTGTCCGTTTAACTTTCGTGTGTAACGTTTTAATCCCCGTACTTTAAGAGATGTTGCAATTTAAGTCTCCGTGGAAAACTAAAGGCCACTTTTGATCTATTTGTCAAAAGAAACTTGATATTTTGCGGTGTCTGCTAAAGGATACTGCTTCAWAATCTCTAACGAGATGAAGACATTGACAGTGTTCTGGATTTTTTCAGCAAGTTTCCATTGAACATAACGTGTTCGATACAGCTAAGGGAGAGTGGGGAGGAGAACATGGTTTTGGAGAAGATAAGGATGTATCTTATGTAGAACAGGTTAAGGGCAAGCAGCTGTGTCTTTCAGTGTTATTCTTTATCTGATTACTAGAAGCATCCATGAAATTAAAAGCTAGCCCATATGTCTAAAGGAGGTTTCTTCAAGTCCCACATTCGATAGTGAGAGAGAGAGATAAAGATAGAGAGCTGCCATTTGGGTGGTTTTTAGCCTGGTCCATATGTTGGGAGGTTAATTGACAAGGCATTAAATCTAAAGTAACTGGACAAACATTCCCAAGTTTTTTTTTTTTTTTTTTTGGTTAAATTACAAGTTTCATCTATGGACATTCAAAGTTGAGTCTAATAGGATCTCTGGATTTAAAAAAATGTCTGATAGGTCTTCAATGTCGTGTCTAAAGTAGCTATGCAACCCTAAAAAATGTTTTTTRGTTAAATTATAAGTTTGGTCTATGAACTTTCAAAGTTAAGTCGAATAGGTCCTTGGATTAAAAAAATTGTCAATGAGTCTTCAGTGTAGTTTCTAATAGATGTCCCTTCGAGGACATCCAATAAATTGGAATGTAACAGAAAAGATTAGTATACCATTGTGCAGGAATGTACCAGAAAAGATTAGTATACCCTTGTGCAAGGATGACAGACAAATTGAGAAATGTTGTCTAAGAACTTCAAAAAAACTCGGAGACCTAAGTTTTGTATTATCAATTTCCCCACCATTTAGTTTTGTACCCTTTACAAGGATTTTAATTTTTAGTATATGACAGCATTTCTTTCCTTCAAAGCATCATCAGCAAGAACAAAAGTTTTGAGTTGATTATTCTGTAAATTAATGAATTAGGTATATCTGAATGTAACATAACCAAAATGGAAGCAGAAGAAGACAAGATTGAGAGACAAATTCAACTAATAACTTTACTTTTATTTCRTAGGAACTTGCTTGATCCAACCAAATAGCTACAGCTTCAAACACTGCTCCAGTGGCTGTCTGTCAAAATTACTTGTGGAAGAAAACATGGAAAAAGYGAAGAATTTCAAGTACTTGTCTGCCTTTTGTGGAAGAAAAAGCCACTTTGATCTTTTTTTCTCTGTAGAAACCAATCTTCTCTAGGCAATGGCTACTCAACGTCAGGCAATGGCATTTTCCAAAAATTCCACGCATTAAAATCTTCCTGCACGGATACAAACGATGAAGGCAGTGTTAGCGCTAACATAACGAAACCAGTCTTCAGACAACTTTTTCACTTATTTTCTAACATTTTCGATATTGTATTCAAACATGACAGATCTTAAGGATTTTATCTTTGTTACCTGCTCAACTAGTGAAGTCGGTGGGAACATGTCGTTAACGAGTGTGTGCAAAGATGTGTAAGACTTGACATCAATGCGATGACTAATTGCTACTTCCCCCTGTAAACAGACGCGAAGTTTGTGGTTATAAGTGAAYGCCAAATTGCTACTCAATAAAAGTAATGCACAAAAAGTTCATCAGAGTTGGATAATTGAATACCTTGGGGTTAATTATAAAGATCTTTCCTTTCGGAATCCCAACTTTTCGATAGCTCAGCTCATCTGTGTCTCTATTCCCAAACCCAGCATAAAATGGATTGTAGTCAGGAGGGAAAAGTTTCTTAATATCCTGCGTTTATTTTTAATCAGAAGAAAAGTAAGAAAAAACTACCCATCATATCAGCATAATGATGAAGATCAGCTGTTTTACCTCTAAACATGCAATCTTAAATTCATGAGGTGCTCTTCTTATCACTGCCATAGATAAACGAAACGCAAAGTCAATTATATAATATAGGTAAAGGAAACCACAAATCAAAGATTAGAAAAATATTACTTCAATTTTTCACATATTGAAGTAATAAGAGCTTATAGCTTTATCAGGGGTATCAAAGCTTTGAACTGGGAAACAATACTGAAAATTCCCTATTCCCATCATAGAGGAGTTACTGTATTCTCGAAAATTAATCTCAAATCTAGATATCGTCAAATTAGGATTGAGAACGAAGACGAGCATAAAATGGCTCTTTACGCACGTGAGGGACGAATACTCCTACCTTTCAATCTTTTATGAACAAAGTTTTAAAGCCATAGACGAACAGCATGTAGCAGATAATCAAGAGAAGTGCAAAGTTGCCTGTTCTCAGATTTAGTATCTGTGTCACAATTCACATTGTGCCTGCTCATGGGATTTCTTGGTCTTATGAGCCATTACCAAAGATTTGGTCACCATTATCGAGTTGGTTGCGCTAGCTGGTATAACTGGTCTCACATCTGGTTCACTTATGCTAGGCATGCTAAGAATTAGTTAACACAGTTGGTAACGATAGGCTGTTAGTTAGTTGAGGGAGTTAGTAATAGCAGATAGAATGGCAGCTATCATGGGTTAGATTATTTGGTAAACGGAGCACAATACAGTCCTCTCCAAAATTAGAGGAGACCTGCAGTAAGACCTGAGTTGTCCCAATTACTCTTTAGTTCAGGGAGCATTGCAGTTCAAGGGTATGCCGACCCTCCCACGGTATGTTTGTTTGGGAAGGGCGGTTTGTTTGTCATGGATGAAGAAATTAGACGAGAAAACAGATACTCTGCTCAAACTAGAGTGTTGGTTCTTTAAAAGTTATCAAGTTCTAACTTTCATGAAAGCTAGTGATTCATCGAAACTTTCTGAGTAAAAGATCTCACCCTCTCGAAATAATGAAGGAAACAGTCCATCTGGTGAGATAACAATCGGTCCACTTGGTAAAGCTTTTCCATCCTGCAGCATAGCAGAACTATTTATCAAATTCATACTCTTACTATTAGCCTTATATAGGCACCACAATATTGGTCATCAGTACAAATAATCAAGCAGAATGAGAGATGGCGATAATACAAATCAAAATTTTCAGGTAGCAGGTCTGGCCTAGACAAATATTTCAATAATAATAACAAATTTTGAAAAATAAAAAGACAGTCGCCAGCAGTTTGTATCAATGGAACCTGTTTTAGGTTGAGTAAGAAACTTCGGGTAAGATACGCCTGAACGATAGCACGTGCACTGAGAAATAGCAGCTGATAACCGTTCTCCTGAGTAGACCCGATATACCACATCAGATAATATCTTCAGCAGAGTATACCACATTATTGTATTCAAATGATGCAGCTCAGAAGAGTCATTTGATTAAAACAAAAAAGTTTCACACTTCACCAATTGATGAATCACTGATTAATTTTTTCCCTATCATTGATCAATTCAGTAACATAGCTTACGAGTGCAGAGACATCATATTATATTTAACTAAAATTATTTCATTCCCCCAACCAACCAACATGTTATATTCTGATTTTATTGTATATTCAGCCTCAAATTAATTCTAATTACGCTATACAAGAAATACATATGCAAGCTCGATTCGGAGATTGTAAACATCATTACCCAGTTCCTCTTTCCCTTCATTGACATCATATCTGATAAATAGCTATAAAATAACCGTAAAGAGTGGAAATGGAGTCCAGATGCAGAAGATGTACCTTTATTGCAGTGAAAAGTCTAGCCACGCCGGATTGCGTCCAATCCTTCCCAACCAAAGGCATGAATTGACCTAACACATCAGACCTATAAAATATGAATTA